ACAGGCATGCCTACATCATAGCACAGAGTTCAAAGCAGACTGCAGTCTGTAAGGAAAGTTTAAATCTGATCAAGCTCAGATTTTAAAGAAATAAATTCAGTGATTCCATTGTATTGAAATCATTGAAGATCCATTTGAGAGACGAAGGAAAGAAAGAGGAAAAAACCCTAAGAGCTGCCTTATGCCATATACAAACATAAATCCTTAATGGATTAAAAACCCTAATATAGAAATCAAAATGGTAACATATTAGAAATATATCTATAGATAGATAGATAGATAGATAGATAGATAGATAGATAGATAGATATTTGTGTGTGCATGTTCGTTAAAGCTTTTATAAGTTAGATACCCAGAGGCCTTGTGCATCTCCCTTTAAAAATACCACAACCAAGATTTGGAAGAAATAAGAGAGGAGATTGTAAGCAAACATTTCCGCATACCTTATTAGAATGTGTCTTACAATCAGCATGAGGAGGAAAGGCCCCGCCAGGAGACTGAGGACTAAACAGTGATGTAATTACCATTGCGGGTTCAGGAACACAAATATCTCCATCAAGCTGTACCTAAGGATCCCTGGTGGCACAGTGGGTTAGGCATAGACTGCTCACCAAAGGTTGGTGGTTCAAACCTACCAGCCACTCCTCAGGAGAACGATGAGGCAGTTTGCTGTCATAAAGAGTTGCAGCCTCGGGAAGCCTCTAGGGCAGTTCTAGTGTGCCCTGCAGGGCTGCTGAGTTACAATATGGCAGCAGTGGATTTGATTTGGTTTCGTGCTCACCTTTCTTAACGTACTTGAATTTGGCAACACCACACATAGTAGAAACTAAATTTAAATTTGGATCCCAAATTGTTACTTAAATGGCTGTTTAACAGATTACACCAGATTACAACATTGGAAAATAAGTTGTATACATAAAGTTGTCCACTTGTCTCAAACCTGGCAAATTAAAGGCAGTCGAAATTGCCAAGAGGCTGGAGGCTCCTGAGTTCTGAAGGGCTGCCTCTCAGCTGACAAACATCTGTCCAAACTCTTATTCATAGGGTGAGATGCAAAATATTTTTGAAGCCAATCTTTTTTGTTTTTTTTCCAATCTATTTTTTTCTTCTGACTTTATGGTGTCTTTTCAAGGTGGCAGGGGTGGACTTTAATTTCTAATTGTATAAAATCCCATAAAAGAGACAAAACTCACTGTCATCAAATTGATTTCAACTCATAGTAACCCTATATAAGATTCCAAGGTTATAAATCTTTAAGAGAAGCTGTCGAGGTTTGACATACCAACTGGTAGGTTTGAAATACCAGCCTTACAACTAGCAACCCAACACTTAACCCACAGCAACACCAGGGCCCCTTATTAAGGGGAAAGAGGTCAACGAAATAGAAAATGTAGGCAAAACCTCGGTATTCTTCCATATGTCTCAAGCTACCCGTGGTATGCGTGTTCAGGCTGACTGTCTGAGTTGTAAGCAGGAGCATATTACCCAGTGAGCAAGTAAGCATGGGCTTACTTGTGCTTACTTGCAAATCTGCTGTGAACAGTTTCACATGTTTTTCACCATCCCCATCAGCGACTTTAAATGTGAAAAGAGGCTGGGATTCTGTAGGAAGGTGCTGTGGGGTTATGAGAGTTAGGTACCAGCCAGATCTAGAAACAGAACCATTTATTGACCTATGTATATGAAAACAACAGCAAAGAACCAAGAATAGCCAAGTTAACTCTGACGATGCAAAGTGTTGCAGGACTTATTCTACCATATATCAAGACTTACTTGCACAGGGATTAAGAAATAAACCAGTAGAATAAATTAGAGAGCCTAGGAATAAGCCCAAGAATATGTTCAATCCATGAAGAAGGTGCCATTATGAATCAGTGTGGAAAATGTGAGTCATTTGACAAAGAATAAAGAGATCATTGTTTGCCAATATTGGAAAAACAAAACTGAATTCCTACCATCCACCACAATAAACTCATCAATAACAGGTTGATTAAGAACATAAGAGTAAATGGTGAAGAGAAATTTTTAAATATTTTTGCAAGCCTACATGGTGAAATATACATAGATAAGTCAAAAATTACCTGCACTCCAGTTATATTAAAATGTCTGTCCACATCCACAGCTGATGACGACATTGATTGTGCACATTGAAATGATTCTGTTGAATAGACAAGCGACAGTGGATTCTGTGGTAAATCATTTGTAGATCAGCCATAGCTATGTCTAGGAAACAACCCACGACAGACTTGGGTTTTGAAAAGTTTGTGCAAGATGGGTACTGAAACAACTCATAGAAGAGCATAAACAGAAGTGTTTGGACATCTGCAAACAACATTTGGACCAATGCTCAAAGGAAAGTAAAAGTTTCTTTTTTTAAAACTTGTTACTGGTGATGAGAGATAAGTCATCACTACGAGTCTGAAAATAAATGGCAGAGTATGGAATGGAAATATCCTCAATCACCAACAAAGAAAAAGTTCAAAAGTCAACCTTCAGCTGGAAAATTGATGCTTACAATTTTCTGGGATTCACAAGGGATTCAACCTGTATGCTGAGCAAATAATACGAGAAGCTGGGTTCTATGAAGAAAAACGTGGCATCAGGATTGGAGGAAGACTCATTAACAACCTGCGATATTGCAGATGATACAACCTTGATCGCTGAAAGTGAAGAGGACTTGAAACATTTACTTATGAAGATTAAAGAGCACAGCCTTCGATATGGATTGCATCTCAATGTCAAGAAAACAAAAATCCTCACCACTGGACCAATAAACAACATTCTTATCAATGGAGAAAAGATTGATGTTGTCAAGGACTTCATTCTTCTTGGATCAACTATCAACACTCGCGGAAGTAGCAGTCAAGAGATCAGACGACGTATTGCACTGGGCAAATCTGCTGCACAGGAACTTTTTAAAGTGTTGAAGAGTAGAGATGTCAGCTTGAGGACTAGGGTGCGACTGACCCAGGCCATTGTGTTTTCAATAGCCTCATATGGATGCGAAAGCTGGACAGTGAATAAGGAGGATCGTAGAAGAATTGATGCCTTTGAGTTGTGGTGTTGGAGGAGAGTACTGAAAGTGCCATGGACTGCCAAAAGAACCAATAAATCTGTTTTGGAAGAAGTGCAGTCAGAGTGCTCCTTGGAGGCCAGGATGGCTAAACTTCGTCTCTCCTACTTTGGACATATTGTCCGGAGGAAACAATCGCTGGAGAAGGATGTCATGCTGGGTAGGGTGGAGGGTCAGAGAAAAAGAGGAAGACCCCCAACGAGATGGATCAGCCAGGTGGCATCATTGATGCACTCAAGTGTGGCAGCGGTAGTAGTGAGGTTGGCCCAGGATCGGACATTGTTTCGTTCTGCTGTGCATGGGGTCGCTATGAGTCGGTTCCGACTTGATGGCACCTGACAACAACAACAACATCAGGAAAAAGATCCAACAATCAACAGGGCTCATTACAGTGAGATGCTCACTGAAGAGCTGAAGCCCAAACTTCAAATTAAATGGATGGTCTTTCATGACAATGCACGTCCTTCACACACCTCTGCCCACACTGTTGACACTCAGCAAAAACTTCATTTTGAGGTGTTAAAGCATCCTTACTATAGTCCTGATCTTGCTCCATCAGACTTTTACCTGTTTGGTGCCCTGAAAGAAGCCCTTCGAGGATGAAGAGTCACCTCTGATGAAGAAGTTCATGGCTCACAGCTCAGCCTAAAACAGGTTTCAATAAGGGAATATTGTCAGCTTGTTGAGAGATGAGCAAAATGTATTAAAAAGCAAGGAGATTATGTCGAAAATGATGTATTTGTCTTTTCTAAAATTGTTTAAAATTAATTCTACAACCAGAGTGCAGATACTTTTTTACATACCCTCATGTATGTGTGTGTGTGTGTGTGTGTGTGTTTTGTTGTGTTTTGTTTTGATGAATTAGACACTAATGACCAAAAGCCAGAAGAGTTGTGGTATGACATCAAGAACGTTATACAGGAAGAAAGTCATTCAGAAGACAAAAAAGAATGAAAAAAACAAAATGGATGTCAGAGGAGACTCTGAAATTTGCTCTCTGGCATAGAGATGCTAAAGCAAATGAAGAAATGAGGAAGTAAAAGAGCTGAACAGAAATTTCAAAGAGCAGCTTGAGAAGACAAAGTCAAATATTATAACGAAATGAACAAAGACTTGGAGTTAGAAAACCAAAAGGAGAGAACACGCTCAGCATTTTTCAGTCTCAGGAAACTGAAGAGAAAATACAAGCCTCAACTTGAAATACTGAAGGATTCTATGGGCAAAATATTGAATGATGCAGAAAGCATCAAAAGAAGATGGAAGGAATAGTAAAGTCACTGTACCAAAAGGAAATGTTCAACCATTTCAAGAGGTACCAGATGATCAAGAGCCAGTGATACTGAAGGAAGAAGTCTAAGGTGCACTGAAGGCTTTAGCAAAGAGCAAAGTTCTTTGTATTAATAGAATACAAATTGAAATCTTTCAACAAACTGATGCAGCATTGAAGGCCCTCACTCATCTATGCCAAGATATTTGGAAGATAGCTACCTGGCCAACTGATTGGAAATGATCCATATTTGTGCCCATCCAAAAAAAGGTGATACAATGGAAAGCGGACATCATCAGATAATATCATTAATATCACAAGCAAGTAAAATTTTGCTAAAAAGGTCATTCAAAAATGGCTGCAACAGTACAATGACCAGGAACTTTCAGATGTTCAAGCTGATTCAGACGAGGACCTGGAACATGGGGTATCATTGTTGATATCAGATGGATCTTGGCTAAAAGCAGAGAATACCAGAAAGATGTTTACCTGTGCTTTATTGACCATGCAAAGGTTTCCCATTGTATGGATCATGACAAGCTAAGGACAACATTGGAGAGAATGAATATTCCAGAACACTTAATTATGCTCATGAGGAACCTGTTCATAGACTAAGAGATAGTTGTTCGAACAGAACAAGAAATGTTTAAAATTAGGAAAGGTGTGAGCTTGGATTGGATTCTTTCATCATACTCATTCAATCTGTATGCTGAGTAAATAATCCAAGAAACTGGATTATGTGAAGACGCCTGTGGCATCAAAATTGAAGGAAGACTCATTAACATCCTGCGATTTGCAGATGATACAACCTTGCTTGCTGAAAAGGAAGAGGACTTAAAATACTGATGAAGATCAAAGACCACTGCTCTTGGTATGGGTTGCACCTCAATGTAAAAAAAACAAAAATCTTCACCACTAGACCAATAAATAGCATCATGATCAATGGAGATAAGACTGAAGTTCAAAAACTTCATTTTGTTCAGCTTAACACTTAAGGAAGCAGCAGTCAAGAAACCAAACGACATATTGCATTGGGCAGATATGCTGCCCAAGATCTCTTTAAAGTGCTCAAGAGCAAAAGATGTCAGTTTGAGGAGTCATGTGCCTGACCCAAGTCATGGCATTTTTGGTAGCCTTATATGCATGTGAAAGTTGGTCAGTGAATAAAGAAGATAGTGGAAAAATTGATGCATTTAATTTATGGTGTTGGAGGAGAATATTTAAAGTACCAAAGACTACCAGAAGAACAAGCAAATGTGTGTTGGAAGAAGTACACCCAGAATGCTCCTTAGAAGCCAAATGGCAAGACTTCATCTCTCATACTTAGGACATATTATCAGGAGGAATCAGTCCCTGGAAAAGGACATCATATTTGGTAAAGTGAAGAATCAACAATAAAGTGAAGACTCCCAACGAGATGGATTGGCACAGTGGCAGCAGCAATGGGGCCAAGCACAGTAATGACCATGAAGTTGGCTCAGGACTGGGCAGTGTTTCCCTCTGTTGTACATAAGGTCACTATGGGTTGGTACCAACTCAACAGCACCTAACAACAACTTTTTTGGTACAATTTCTTCAATGAGAAACAAAATGTCAAAAAACAAAAAGAAAAAATTATAATGTCAGTTACACTAAAATCAAAACTGTGTCCATCAAATGACTTCATAAAGTGCTAAGAAAAACTAAACAGAGATAAGATATGACCATCAAAGGAGATAAGCCCACATTATACACCATGATTGTAACCCCTCCATGCAACAACAGTTATCCCACTTCCTCCATGTGATTCTTGTTTCCGTTCCATCCTCGACACCAACCCTTCTGAACTTTGTCCCTAGGTAAACGTCACCCTTTTCATCTTGAATGGTTGACTGTTCCATAGTGAGTTTACCTCACTAATAGTATTATCCAATATATATCTTTCTACTGCTTGCCTAAAAATTGGGCCACGAGGGTGGGTTCCATTCCCAACCTGAAGGGTGACTGAGGGTCCTAGTCATGGGTTCTTTCAGTCTCTTTCTAACCAGTAAATCCAGTCTTTTTCATAAAAACAATCCAGTATCTTTCCATTCTATTTTTCCATGGATTTTTTTTAAGCCCCTTTGTATAAAGAATGTTCATGATTCATAAAATAAAAGAAGTTAACAAGTTTAGCTCATGGGCCAAAGACACAAAGAAACAGTTTATAGGAAGGAAAAATGGTAACTATACATATGAGGATACTCTATGCTCAGCCTCATGTGGGAGTCATCTCGCATCCAGTAGATTAACATGTGGCGCCAGGGGCATTCTTTTAAGACTGACAGAGAGGTTAATTGTTACATCTGCTTTGGAGATGAATCTGAACAGATCTAGTAAGATTGTTTATATCTTATGACCCAGCAAGATGCAGAGAGGACGGCATATACAAAACTATTTAAAAGAACACTGTCTACAAGAAGACGCAAGTGAACAAAGATCAGAATTTAATATTGGTTGCCAGGGTGGGAGAGTGGACTATAGGATAAGCATTGGGCTGCCAACCACAAGGTCAACCCCACCAGATGCCCCTTGGAAACCCTATACAGGGTCTCTGTGAGTCAGAATCGACTTGACATCACTTAACAACACAACAGCAAGAATGGGAGAGTTTGGTAAAGGGGAGCCATTGTATAGGAAGCACATTGAACTTTTGTTTATGGTGATGGAAACTTTGGCAATGGCTATCAGTGATGGTTGCATAATGTGATTGATGTCATTGGTGTCACCGAATCGTAGTAGCATGTGAAGATGTTGATTGGACAAATCTTGTGTTATCTGTATTTATTTTTACAACAAGAAGAAGGAGCATCGTTACTAACAGCAAAAAAAAAAAAAAAAAAATCAGCCATTGAGAACCCTAATCAATTCTGGCTCATGTAACTTCTACTCAGTAACGCATGAGGTCGCCATGAGTCAGAATCTCCTTGATAACAGCAACAAGCACACACTCATGCCTCACACAGGTAATAAACATACGCAATAAAACAAGGGAGAAGGTTGCCTACGTTTCATAGCGACCCCACATGTGTAAGAGTAGAATTGTACTCGGTAGGGTTCTCAATGGCTGATTTTTTGGGGGGGGGAAAAATCACCTCTGGGTGGAACCTCTAATCTTTCAGTAGCAGCCCAGCACATGAACTGTTTGCACCATCCAGAAAACAGCAGAGCTAGAAGTAAAAGGCTTGCCCACACCCTGTTCTCTTCCCATCGTTCCATGCTGCCTCTTGTGTTCACGTGGTCTTTTTTGTTCTCTCCTGCTACAGATGAAAACTGCAAGGACAAATACTACAACTGTAACGTGGTAGTGCAAGCACGACTCTGTGTCTACAACTACTACAAGACCGCCTGCTGCGCCTCTTGCACTCGAGTGGCCACCAGGCACCCAGGGTACCTGGGCAGCCGATAACACTCCTGCCTGCACCACAGTCAGTGTGGCGGCGCCACCTGCCTTCCCGGAGCTGTAAGCAGTATGACTGACTGGTCGTGGCTCCTCCAGGCACTGCCTGGCCCCGAACACCCCAAGTCTAGCTAGTCACCACCCCAACCTTCAGTAAAGTTTTGTACACAGGATGTTCAGAAGCCAGGGTTGATCCTGTAAGCATCACCATATACTGTGGATCTTCTCTCTGGGACCTGCACCTGCTAAAGGTGTTCTTGGAAAACCAAGTGCATGTAGCCTCCAGCCACACTTCCACCCTGGCATTCCCCTCATGGCGCTGCCTCTGCCACTGTGCTCTTAGCCTCCCAGCATGCTACTAGCGCCCCTTGGAGTATCCGCAGAGGCAATGCCACCGACCTTATGTTGTTGTTATGTGCCATGGAGTCGGTTCCGACTCATAGCGACCCTGTACAGGGTTTCCCAGGCTGTAAATCTTTACGGGAGCAGAAAGCCTCATCTTATTCCTGCGGAACAGCTGGTAGTTTCGAACTGCTGACCCTGAGGTTAGCAGCCCGATTCGTAACCACTACACTACCAGAGCCCCCACCCTAGAGCCCCACTAAGCCTTGCTGAGACGCCCGCCATGCTGTTACCTCAGCCCCAGCTGTGCCTGTTCCCATTCTCAAAGATACTAGACGGTTTTCTTGTCTAATGACACGAATATCTCACGTTAATATGGTGCTTGACTGTTCAGCAGATGTATGAGGGGCTTCACAAAGTTTCTGGGAAAATGGAATGAAAACATAATGGCATTTTCCCAACAGCTTTTTGAAGCCACCTCATATTTATTCCCAGAGATGATCTCATTAGCAGTTCATGAAGTCCCAGAGTGGAAGGCAGAGGATGATTCATTATTTCCATTTTGCTGACAAGGAAGCTGCAGCTCAACTTAGGTCATTGATCTGCCAGGTGGATTCTGTGGGAGAACTGAGTTCCTACCCATATCATCTGACTACAAAGCCCAGAGAACTACCCTCACATCGTGACCCCTCCACCAACAACCAGGCCCCCAGGCTGAGAGGAAGAGGTCAGAGCTATGTTAATGTGTTAATGCAGCTGCCTGAGAGAAGGAGCTGGGAACCCCTCTGTGGCCACAGGAGTGCTCTCTCCGGATCCTGGAGTCTCAGGAGAGCTAGAACGAGAGATCTAGTGCATAATGAGAGGTGGACCAGCTGAAAACTCAACTAAAAGGACTATAGATAAAGATCATGTGCTTACATATAGATACATACATATATACATACATACATACATATGTAAAGTGGAGAGTGAGAGAAACAAGGAAGACCCCCAAATGGAGATGATTTGACACAGTGGCGGCAGCAATGGGCTCAAGTGTTAGCAACAGTTGGGAGGATGGCCCAGGACCAGGCAGTACTTCATTCTGTTGTGCACAGGGTCACTGTGAATGGACACCGACTCGATGGCACCTAACAACAATAACATATATATGGACTTGAATCACTTACTGATGATGATTGAAGATGGTAGCCTTCAGTATGGATTACACCTCAACATAAAAAAAAAAAAAAAAGTCATCGCAACTGGACCAATAATCAACATTGTGATAAACAGAGAAAAGACTGAAGTTGTCAAGGATTTTATTTTACTTGGGTCCACAATCAACACCCATGGAAATAGCAATCAAGAAATCAAACAGCATTTGCACTGAGCACATCTGCTACAAAAGACATCACTTTGAAGACTAAAGAGTGCCTGGCACAGCCAAGGTATTTTCAATCACTTTGTATGCATGCAAAAGCTGGGCCACAAACAACGAAGGCCAAAGAAGAATTGGTACCAATGAGTTATGGTGTTAGTGAAGGATAGTGAACATACCCTGGACCACCAGAAGAAGGAATAAATCTGTCTTGGAAGAAGTACAGCCAGAATGTTCCTACAAAGCCAGAATGGTAAGCCTTGGCCTCACATGCTTTAGACACGTTATCAGGAGGGACCAGCCCCTGGTGAAGGACATCATGTTTAGTAAAGTGGAGGGTCGGCGAACAAGAGGAAGACCTCCAATGAGATGGATTGTCACAGTGGCTGCCTTATTGAGCTCAAACACAACAACAAATGTGAGGATGAGACCAGACCAGGAACATTTCATTCTGTACTGATGGATATTCTGATGAACTGAATCGCCAGCACCTAACAACAACATACAAGTATGTATGCTTTCAACCATTAAGAAAAATACCAGGCTAAACAAATTGTAAATGTATAGACAATGTATTCTTTAACGTCATGGTTCTGGGCATTTTTCTATGGTAAAGGAAGTCCTGTTGTTACTATTGGAGTTGTGGTGTGGCGCTATAGGATAAGCACTGGACTGCAAGCTGGTGAATTTAAACCGAAAGACTGGTGGTTCAAACTCACCAGCTATTCCTTGGAAACCCTATACTGAGGCGCTACGAGTTAGAATCGACTTGATGACACTTGGCAGTAACAACAACAACGTTATTGCCACTGAGTCAGTCCCCAGCTCATGGTGACACCAGGCACAATAGAATGAAACATCGTCTGGTTCTGTACCACTCCCATAATCAGCTGTGTCTGAGTCTGGAAGCTCCAGTAAGATCTGTCCAGCATCCTAGCAACACAGGCATCCAAAGACAGACACGTGGAGATTGTGCTTTTCAGTTCACTGGCCTGGAATCAAACTAGGGTCTCCTGCAGGGAAGGCTAGAATTCTACCACTGACCCACCACCACCGAGATTTGTCACAACAGAGTCTCTCCCAGGCTTCATTAACCTGAAAATCTGCTAATGTCCTTTGATGAACAGTTGCCATTTGTGAAGCAGTGCCACCCAGCCAGGTCTACACACTCGGTTACGTTCACCAACCTTGGACCTTCCTGTGAGTGTCCTTGAGCTTCTCTTCCTAAAGAGCCCCAACCACCATTTCCCCAAAGCTCCCAGTTTTCATGTAACTCCATGTGGCTACGCAGCTGGCAGAGGCCCAGGTGCCCATGGCTTGGCTCTGCCATGGAGCAAAAATAGTTCCAAGACGTCAAGGCCACTGCCCACTCTCTTCCCAACTGTTTGCCTTTGCTCCTTGTCACAGGGGAGTTTGTGCTTGGTGCAGCTGCTCTCAAATCTTGCTCACAAGGTCAATCATTTGTAGGATTACTTGAAAGAGGTTTTCAGGGCAGAACAGGATCAATGGGTGAAAGTAGCAGAAAGCTTGATCTTAGCTCAAGTCAAAGGAAAGCAATCCAGCTACCAAACATGCCAGCAGAGCTTGGGCCACCAGGCAGGAAGGAATAAGCTCTCCGTCCTAAAAAGGATTCAAGATCAAGTGGGAATGAACATCCTGGGGTCCTCCAACTCAGGAATTCTCATGACTGGTCTGTGCCTTCTCCCTCTAACTGTGTCCTGTGGCTCCCAAACACTGCCCAACGTTTCTTTAACAGGACACTGGTCACCCCCTTAAGAATGGTCACATTAAAACAAAGCAAACAAAAACCAAACCTGCTCCCCTCAAGTCGATTCCAACTCCTAGTGACTCTAGAGCACAATAGCAGTGTCCTGTAGGGTGTCCAAGGCTGACATCTTGATGGACGCTGATGGCCACATCTTTCTCCTGAAGAGCTTTGAACTTAAGGTGGCTTTGAACTGCCGGCCTTTACATCAGCAGCCGAGCACTTAACCTCTGCAGTACCAGGACTTTGATGGCCACCTCGCCAATTGTGAAATTGGGTAGGAACTCACCTGACCAATCCCATGTCTTTGAGGAGAAGTACCTAGACCAAGGAGTCCTAGTATGGTGCCATAGGGTAAGCACTCGACATTAAGGTTGGTTTGAACTCCAAGGTCGTTGGTTCAAACTCACCAGCCGCTCCTCAGAAACCTTTACAGGATTGATATGGGTTGAACAGCACACATCAACAACAACAACAATCTAGACCAAGAGTCTTTGCTTTTCTTCTCACAGTTAAGTTATGTTTGAAGTTAATCAGTAAGTCTCTGGAAAGGTTCTCAATTACTACAAGATAGGTTTTATCACTTATTTGTCTTAGAAATCCAATTTCCATTTGTTTTCTAATTTCTTATTTCTGCATCTAAATGTCTTTCTCCTTAGAACAACACAAACACTAAGATCCTTTGGTATTGCCAGTGTTAGCTTTCCTGGGAGGGAGTCTAGGGAGAGTTCTCCTTTATGACTCTCTCTGTCTTCTTGGTGGTAATGGCACCATCTAGTCACTCTGACTCATGGCGACCCTGTCAGACAAAGTAGACATGCTCCATAGTTTCCAAGGTTGTAAGTTTTTATGGAAACAGCCTCATCTTTCTCACAGGAGAGGATGGTCTGTTAAAACCACCAACCTTTTAGCTCGTAGCCCAGCGCTTAAACCTACTGCACCACCACGACTCCTTTCTGCTTCTTCAGAGCCCCATGACTTCACTGCTCTCATCCCCATTTGTCTGCCCTCTCCAGATTTCTTAACCTCCCACAGCATGGAATTGGAAATTACTTCTCAGTACTGGGCTCTCACCCCTGGGCCCTGGGTTGTTGGCTCAACCCCTGCTCTTAATTTTAAAATAAGATTGATTGAAGCTGTTGATTTTCTCCAAACAAAAACAGTTTAGTTTTGTTTTTTACTTCCATTTATTGGTAAACGAAATCATGGCCCTTGAAGCCTAGGTGAAAGTCATTTGATACAGTTGCTCCTTGTGGCACTGTAGGATAAGCACTAGAATGCTCACTGCAGGGCCAGCAGTTCAAGCTCACCAGCTGACCCTCCGAAACTCTATACAGGATCACTATGAGTCAGAATCAACTCAATGGCACAATCTTCCAGTCAACTTGACCTTCGCTCCATAGAAAGAAATGTTGAGTACCTATGAACCAAGTCACTAGGGGGAGGCAGGGCAGTTCAGTCAAAGCATGCTCAGTGCTGGCCATATGCAAGCTTGTGGGGAAACCAAGATGAGCAAGACCTGGTAGTCTCTGCCCTTATGGGGGGCTACAGCGAGGCAGGTGCTCTCAGAATTGCCCACTCTACCCCTTTG